CATAATGGCTCGGCAAGGATGTTCATCCCCTGCCTCGAATACTCATTTCTGAAGCCAAAAATAAGCGCCACCCAATGAAACTTAGATGTCAGGACATTATCACGCAATTGAAAAAAAATAATACAAAAAATCACAAACCCTAATCATACCTAAAAACACAGAAAAACTTATGACAAGGAAGAACTCCTCATTTCTACATACCTTCTAGCCTCCTCCAATCGACCGAACCGAGTAAGGACCGCAACGAGTAACGAGTAATGTTCTTCCGATGGCTTAATCTTATACCTAACCAACATTAACTTGAAGATGCGCAGTGCTTCATCAACAAAACCAGCTTTGTTACAAATAGACAGAACCACTTTGAAAGTAAAATGGTTTGGAGAGATACCAGAGGATCTCATTTGGTCAAAGAGATTAACTGCTTCCTGAAACTCTCCATTGTCTCCATGAGCTTCAATAACGGCAGTCCATGTCATTGACCCCTTCACGGGGATTGCCTCAAACACCGTTTTTGCCGTTTGTACTGCTCCACAGTTACCATACAGCTTCACAAGTTCGGCAGAAACAAAATGGACCGACTCGAAGTTTCTCTTCAAGACTTGCCCATGTATCTCCTTCCCCAGCTTCAACCTTTTTAGTTCACTGCATATGTAGAGAATTCTCGCCATGGTAACTGTATCGGGCCGGTGCTTCGATAGTTGCATTGCTCTGAATATACCAATTGCTTCGTGTAGACGCTGATTCTCTATGTATGAATCAATCATTGCTGTCCATAAGATCACATTCCTTTGTTCCATGCCATCAAAAAGCTTTAGAGAATAGTCCATTACTCCGCATTTTGAGTACATTACCATCAAGGACGAAACAATAGACACATTCGGGAGGAAGCAATTCTTCAAAGCGTAAGCATGAATCTCCTTCCCTGGTTTCAAAGCCCTCAATTCGGCACAAACTGGAAGGATTGTGGCAACGGTAACAACGTCCGGTCTAAATCCCTCCTGCTGCATCCAAATAACTGATCTTACAGCCTGCTCTAGCCTACCATTTAAAGCATAACCTGACATCAAAGCAGTCCAACAGATAGCATTCCTCTCCATGGATCCGTAAAAAACCGCTCTACCCGAACCGATGTCCCCACATTTGCAATACATATCAATCAGAGCAGACTGAATAAAGATCTGCTTTGAGTAACTTTTTGTCTTTATAACATAAGCATGAATTTCCTGGCCTAATCTCCTCGCCCAAACTTCTCCAAGAACAGGAAGAACAGTGGTCAGAATGACCGAATTCGGCCTAATGCCTGCATCTATCATCTTTCTCGTATATTCCAAAGCTTCCCTTTGGAGGCGATTATGTGCAAAACCAGCAATCATTGATCCCCAAACCACAACATCTCTCTCAGTAATTTCCTCAAACACCTGGCGGCCAAGCTTAATCTTACCACATTTAAAGTACATATCAATCAAACTTGTCCCAAGAATTGAACTCCCAACCAATCCATTCTTAATCAAAAGGGCATGGGCCTTGAGCCCTTGGGTAAGCGCCGATGCACCCGCAAAGCTCTTGATGATATTAGCAAAAGAGTAAACGTTCAATTCAACTCCCACCCTTCTCATTTCGGCATAAGTCGAGAGAACGCTGCGATAATCCCGCCGACCCGCCATTACAGTTCCTCTAAGCAACGCATTCCAAGGATAAACACTCTTGCTAGAGCTAGAACTTTCATCAAACAGCTTCTGTGCATCTTCCAGAGACCCACAGGCAGAGTACATATGAACAAGTCTAGTACGCAGAAATTCATTGTTTTCAAGCCCATTTATCCGAATATGAGCGTGAATCTGTTTCGCATCACCCAATGATTTGGTTCTAACGCAAGCAGTAATAAGGGAAGAAAATGTAGTCGCATTAACTGGGATGCCTCGTTGATCCAAATAATCCATAATGGTGAGTGCCTCCTTGAGCTTATTTCGCCGGGCAAATCCTTGAATATCCTCGTAGATGGCATGTGGGTTTTTGGTGTGAAGCGGTAAAGATGAGGGAAAAGCATCTTTCTCGGCAAAAACTGGACGGTCTTGGTTTCGAAAATTGGCAACTATTTTGATGTTCGACGGCAGTGTCGAGGATTTGGTTCGGGAGAGTTGGTGGCCGGAATTGGTATTAGCGGCGGCGAGAGGATTTGGAGGGAACAGATGAAGATGAAGGGATAGCGTGATGGAGGAAGAAGTCTCCATGAACTGAGGCGAAATTGAAGGAGGTTATAGAGATATAACCGCCGCAAGCGCCGGCCGGCGAGCGGCTGAGGATCAAATCGTGCGACGGCCGACGGGCGCGACTGTAACGTACCGGCTCCAAGTGCTGTGCTCAGATTTCCTACGAGTTGAAATGCTATCTCCTGGTTCTTCAAAACATAGCATTTCTCACTTATTTTAATTTAAAAATTAATTACTGTACAAAATTTAGTTTTGTTGAAATTAGTATAATTTTAAAATATAAAATTAAAATCAATTTACTATTAATAAAAAATATGGTAAAAATAACTAAAATGAATGAAATATCTCACAAATTAGCTTTTAACTTTAGTTTTATTTTTTATATTATTAGTTTTTACAATAATTGCAAATGATGTCACAATATAAAATTCAAATTACATCCATTATTAATTTTTAGAATATAATCTATCTTTTAGTTGGGCATTAAGATGTTCTTAATTATTTTGTAATACTTGTAAAAAATGTTGTTATTGTGTTTCTAATAATTAGTTTATTAAATAAAAAGTTTTTGTTTTATTCATTAAAAAATAATTTATTTAACTAAATTTGTATGTGGTTTAAAAATTATATAGATATTACAAGTTGGTCAAATATATTTTATTATTTATAATTAGTGTAATTGTAAGAATATAAGATTAACAATAATTGCTATTATTAATAAAATAAGTTAAAATAAAAATGTATGCAATGTCTAAAATTAGTTTTGTTGATAGGTATAGTTATATATAAATATAAAATATAAATTAAATCAATCTATAATTTATATCTTATTAAATGTTAAATTAATTATGTATTTATAATTGATCAATGTTTTATCATTTTCTCTATCATTAAAATCTTCTAAATTATTAGTATATAAATTTGTTTTTAATACAACATGTGAAGTAGACATTTGAACTCATTACTTTTATATTGAAGATAGGTGTGCTCGGGTTGACACTTCAAATTGTCGTGGAAATGAATTAAATGCACAAATTTAATAGTTGGAGGGAATTGAAAAAAATTATAAAACTTTGACATTTCAAAAGCTTACAGGTTCTACAATTACATATAAGAGAAGGCAAAAGGGTAAGATAACCCCTAAAAAATGTAAACTTTCACATTCTCTTATGATAATTAATTATTGTTAATTAGAGAAAGAGAGAAATAATTAATTAGTTATTTAAAATTAATTAGTAGTGTCATATCTAGTAATTTACAAATTGAGAGATGATCTTAGAACTGAATTAGTAGATTGATGAGCATAAAGAAGCTAAAGTCTACCAATATGCATACATTGGGAGTTACGAGGAATTAGTGGTGCTGGCAGTCGAATACTTCTTAACTGCATTTGAAGATTGATGAGCAAAATACTTTTGGCGAAGAATTACATAGGGATAACTAATGAACGATAATATGTGTGCAGGCTTTGAGAAGGAAAGAATTTCGTACCACACCTGGTTGTTCTTGTCCATCTCGATTGAAAACCGTTCTTCACCGGCCTGAGTTTGTGAGAATTCAAAATCATATTAGTTGCGCTCAGTATTCGTAGGATCCGAAAGGGATTTAAAGCTGGAATGTCAAAGATGGCGAAAGGTAATCATAGAAATTGAAGAACAATGAGTTTTTAGCCTAGAAGATCCAAATAGAGTGAAAGTATTTAGAAATATTAGAGACTTACTGGGGTGTTGTTCTTAGTACTCAAAACTAGAGTCTACTACCAAATATAAGGTGGTGCCTTAGGTTTTTATTACTGAAGAAACCAAAAGAAATCTCAAACATACTTTAACCAAGCAAAGTCTATTGAAAGAAACTCTTTTTCCCCGAAAGAATTTTTTTTTTTTTGTTGGGTGTCCAAGTTTTGCTCTTCTATACTCAAGGGACCTGCACCTACCTCAAGGCTCGGACTCGAAAGACATCAAGAATTTTTTGTATTAAGCTCACCAAAAGGTTCAAATTTGAGACCTCTAAATTAGTATGACCAAGAGACCCGAAGCCCAACATAATTGCTTCTCAGGAACTTTCTAGAAACGGCCAATGTGTTTGCTAGATGTCTCGAAGGTGAACTCAAATGAACCCTACATCTTTTCAGTCATTAATAAAGGAAATTAATGACTGGAAAAATTTTAGAGTAGACTACAATTGAGTATACCTTCGAGCCATCTAGCAAAGGCATTAACTAGTTTAAAACTATCCTGGCAAGAAATATTAACACCTATGTCACATGCATGGGTGAGTCTTTTGCCTGAAAAAGTAGTTTGCAAGTAAGTCTTTAAGCAAAGAAGGGAAAAAAGAAAAACCAGCTAACCAGAAGATGGCCTTGAAGGGTACCGCTGCCAAAACTGAAACATGTCCTAGCCATTTTGGCATCCCTATTCTCATTGACATACACAATCTGGAGAGGCATCACCACCCATGGAAGGAACTCCTTGGAACAGACACAAAACTTCACTCCTGGATTAACTGGGGTCGAGGAATCGACAAATGCCCAATTCAATCCAAAATGCCTGCAAATTTTGAACAGGATGAGACTAAGATTCCACGTTTAATAGTAAGGTTACTCTTCGACAAAAAAATGTATAGCCAAAGCCCACCGCCAGTTCTGAAGAGCTTTCTTCCCCTTTTCATAAGTCTCAACACCAGATCCCACCAAAATACGAGCATGGTTCAGAAGAAAACCTTCCTGTTGGAGCCCCTTGTCTTCTTTAAGGGAAGAGCTGGGATTAGCAGTAGCTCCTCTAAACTTGCTGCTATAGTTGAAGGAACCAGACCTATTGATGTACATCATGTAACATTTCACTTAGAAAAAAGAGCCAGGCCTTTATATTTCAGTAGGTTCCTTTTCTTATCATTCTAACCTGTCAATGCAAGCCTTATGTTCTAGTGGAGATGGGCGAGACCAACACAGGAAGACCATCTTAATCAACAACAGCAATAGCCTTCAAATAAAATATATTGAAAAATGAAGTCACTAATAAGGAGCAAAACAGTTCAAAATTCTTCAAAAAGAAAGATCTAGGATTTAAGTTTCTTAGGGCAAAAGACATCTCAGGTCTCTCGGGCCGATAGGATTTGAATTGCGTGAATCCCAGACCGAGATTAATGCAATTTCAATGTGGGGGACGAATCTTCACATGTTTGGAAATGAACCATTAAAACGACAAGATTTAGCTAACTGAAACTATCATTATAAAAATGTAGACAGGAAACAGAAGGGTAGTGCAGCCATGCCAAACAATGAAAAATATCAGTTGCAAAAGAAGTAAAAATTTCTTTTTGCTAACAGAACCTTGTTGGTGACTTATTGTATCAATGTCCATTGATAATCAAGAGAGTTAAAAATGAGAACTTTCTGCGAGTTTCAGCTGCCAACAAATCCCCAAGAGCCGAACAAAAAAGAGAAATAATGAACAAAAACTTTTGATTTGTAAGTTTTATTTAGTCTCGCCATACATCCAACTATGGCAAAAACCCACTCTTGTCACCGTTATACTTATTTTGTTATCTGTGGCTATTGTATAATTGTATTTATTTCCTTTGTATCTCAGTTTCCTTATGTACTCCTGTAATCCATGTCTATTTAGGGTTGTAAAAAGTGGTAAGAATGTAATGAGAGAAATTTATCTCTAACATCGTGGTACCAGAGCATGGAATATGGGAAAATCAAAGGAAGAACTGGGATCCAGGTGTTGCTTCTCTTTAAAAGATTATAAAGCCAACCATAAGGAAGAATTGATTGGAAGAGTACTATGAATAAAAATGTCAAGACAATGAAAGATAAGAAAGCTAGGACCAATCGTGGGACACAAACAAATTTACAAGCACGACATATTTCCTTTCTAAAGGAGTTTGATTTTTTGTAACTAGATATGGCAATTAAAGATTCAAATATTTTCATGGTAGTTTAACTAGTGAGGGAGATTTATGGCTCATCTTTGCTTTATGAGATAATTAAACAAAGTTCAGCAATGATCAACTAGTCCAAGATCATCACATAATAAAGAAACTTGATAATTGTGCATAGATACCTGCTGAAGCTTCTCTTTGATATCCTTGAACAGTGAAAAGTTACCAACTAATGAATTTCAGCAGAAAGTTGTGAATCAAGCTCAAGGACTAAGGTCAAACATACAAGAAAAAACTGACACTGTTAATATAACAAGTAGTTTAAATTGATCACTAGAAAAGATTGCTTTCGGTATCAAAACTGCTCTGATCATTCGGAACATATTTGATTTGATCACATGAACAGCCCAGATTAAGAACATGAACAATAAAAGAGTGAAATATATCATAAGAAAAAAAAATGTGAACAAAAGAATTAAAACTAACAACCTGTGATACCACGTATAGAAAGTTTCTTTTTCCTGAATAATGAAGCAAGAGAAAGGCAACCAATAGCATCTACCCTTGCAAAATGCCATGCTCAATCATGATTCGAGCTTTATTTGAAAAGTATAGACCAAGTTATGTTTAGCCAATGTCATGAGTCCATCACAATTTTGCAAGCATGAGGGCCAACAGGTTTATTTCTTGAAAAGCATTTCCTAACGTAGACAAACTAGGGCATGTACTTTTTCAAAAAGAGTGTAACCAAAACCAGTAGCCCACAACAGATCAGGTGAGGATTGTAAGACCAAGTTTACAACTTACCCAAAATCAATCAATGGACGGACATAGTTCAGACCAAATATATAGTAATCGAAAGGCTCTCGAACTGCTTCATGGTGTGGTGAGAAGACAAAAGGATCCCGAAGGATATAGAAAGCACCTTAAAATTCTAAACCTAGACATAACAATTACATCAATCTAGCAGCAATATTGTAGGTGTAATGCACACATTTTCAAATTGCAGTTAATCATGATGCCAGAATTAATATTAGTAAGTAATCAAGAAAAGGAGATGAAGTATTCTAACTAAAGGAAACATATCCCTAACTTCTCTCTCATCTATATTTTCCCACCTATCTTTGACTAAGCTTTAAAGTGAGCCATAGTACCTAGAATATTTGGTGCACACATACGTTCCAAGTTCCAAATCATCCAGTGTTATGCAGGATGAGTACTAGTGATTCCAATCTTAATCAAGCTCACCATTATATTTACAAGATCAAATATCAATTGCAAGATGGATACACAGAAAGATACAAACCCGTAAACCACGTCTAAAAGGCCACTGTTCTTTCTACTAGGACAATCATTCAAAACTGGACTAATTCCTTTCACATAATTAAAAAGAAGAGCTCTGTAACAACATTGACAAACTCACAATGATTTTTCAAAATCTAAGAGGTAAGAACATTCACAAGACTAATGACCGAATCTTTCATAGTTCAAGCTAGATTGGACAACTAATTTCATTCCGAAAAGCACCTAGAATTTCACTCAATTGTAAATTAAACGCATGTCTTATGCAAAACTTTACTACTGCATAATGGCTCGGSAAGGATGTTCATCCCCTGCCTCGAATACTCATTTCTGAAGCCAAAAATAAGCGCCACCCAATGAAACTTAGATGTCAGGACGTTATCACGCAATTGAAAAAGAATAATACAAAAAATCACAAACCCTAGTCATACCTAACAACGCAAATCGAAAGAAATTTTTTCAGGCAAAATTTGTAGTGGGAAGTCAAACTTGTTGAGAAACTTCAGAAGGACTGATCGAGAACTAGTCGTACATCGAGCATTTCATTTTCTTCGAATCTCAAATGCATTGAGACGAATTCGATTATGAGACTAAAAAATGAAACTAGTATAGAAAGACGAACCTCGTTAAGCAAAGCCACTGGTGGTTCGTGTGAGAGGAACACACTAGTGCCGCCGATTGCGAAGAACAGAACTACGAAAACTTGGTGAAATTGGGATTTGTTTTTACTCCAAAAATAATACAATTTGTATTTTAACTCTCCTTAATAACATCTTATTTGTGATCATTCCATTCAAAATTTTTGTTGATTTTTCCACATTTGAATATGATAGAATTATTTTTTTTGAAAGCTAAGACTAATTGAGATTGAAGGTAAAGTTGGCGGGGATAAATAGACGATCCTGGCCCTACATTCTATCTTTTATCCCAAACTCTGGGATGAGAGGTAGAATGTAGAGTCAGGATCATCTCGGTTCAATTGATTTTACTCCCTAAATTATACCTTTGTCTCGATTCTAACCAGAAATGAGACTTAAAATCAACCGTGCTGATTGTTTTCTTGACTCCTTAACGAACCTCTCTCATATAGATAAAAAAAAAGTACCCATCACTTTCGTGTTTCATTAGGAGCAAAATTTTGGAAGAAGATAGAGGCTTATGGTGCTTGACTTTAGCTTTCTACACAAAAATGTAATTTTCTTTATATTTTCAACTCAAATTGTTACCCAAAACTTAATATATGCCTCTTTAGACTATGATAAAGCAGTATTCATCAATTTGACACATAACCTAAGCATTTAAACATGATGTCTGAGTAAAATAAAGTTGAAAAGTACACGATTCAACATTTTTTTTACCTTTGTGTAGACAAGGGAAATTGGTCTCTGTTGAACTTGATCCAAACCAGGTTAGCTTTTGGTTCTTAATCAATAATCTTTCATATATCTTGTGATCATGTAAAGTTTTTTCACGAATGCACCAATTAATGTAATTTTTTTTTGATAAGTTGAGACACTCGGAAAGAAATCAGATTTTGTTGTTTTCCATTTACATAACAACTCTATCTTTTCAAACTCAAGCTTTTACTATTTTGTTGGAAGCGCGATATACATCCACAAATTAAGAATCAAACGAGACTTATTAATTGATGAGAAACAACTCACTTTTATAAAAAATTCTTCACAAAAGTACAAACTTAGTTCGCCAACTCTCTCAATTCTTGTCCACATACTTGCTTGAAATACACAAGTGCCCATATTAATTTCATCCTATAAGCTTATACATACATAAAGCCACAATTAGTCCATCTTTTTAAAACTTATATATAAGAATGCTTAAACTAAATCCTAGTGGATGTATATGTGTATCATGTATCTAGATAATTAAGATAGGTTTAATTTGTAACGAAAAACGAAGATCAGCCATAGAAAGGAAGCAAGATAGATCGTTAATTACTAAATAAGTATTTGATTCATTGAAATGAAAATTAGTTACATGCATTTATAGAGAACTAAGAAAAACTCACCACTAAGTCACTACCCTTGAATTTCTCTCCAATCAACACCACCATGCCACTAAACTACTATGCCCAAAATTTCTCATAAGTTTACATCCACTCACTACTACTTCCTGTTGTGCAAAATACACCAATAATCGTTGCTTCTTTTATCAAACAATATTAATCATAATCCAAATAAATCCACAAAACAATATTAAAACTAAATCAAGTAAAGATGGGAAGAGAAGATGACACCAAAATTTATAGTGGTTCGACCAATGTGGTCTACATCTACTGTGTGCAAGGTGAGAGCAAACTTATACAAACTCTTCTTTAGATTTTTCTACCTTGGCTGCTACTGTCAAAAAGTGTAACAAAATCCTGCCTCTTTTTCTCAATCTCACGGCAAGAAAAATGGTTCAAAATTAGGGTTTCACACCAATGTAATAAGAGAATTTATAGTAGGTGTTCCTATTTTGTCACTTTGATTTTGAAAAATGGCCAGATGATTTTTGTTAATAAAAAAATGTCCATTCCGATTTTTCCAACTGTTTTACAGATTTAATTTTGATCATCTTACCCTTTCTATTTAATTATTATTTTTTAAATAAAAATAATACTCTCATTCTCAAATTTGTTTCTTGTTATATTATCTGTCTTTTTTCTACATTTTCTCTCATAGATTTTAGAAACCATTTATCTCACTTTTTAAATATATATTTGAATATAACAAACATAACTCAAAGAGGATAGCACAGAAAGTGAGACACGATCAAGGGCCGGTGTCGCGAGGGAGACAACGGGAATGAACGAGAATTGAACAAGGGTGACAACAAGGTCGGGAATGGACAGGATTGAGCAAAGGAGACAACGGTGGACCAAAAAGGTGGGTGACATAGCTGTAGGTGGGATCAGGAGTGGATGAAATTAAGCAAGGGATACAATGGTAGAGCAACAAGATGGGTGAAAAAGTTGTAAGTGGGGTGGGGAGTGACAGATAGTAGAGAAGAGAGAGTATGAGTTTCTACGGACAATACTTTTATGAGGTATACATTTTTTTTTTATATTTTTGTATTAATTGTGTCACAAAAATAAACATTATGCGTTAATCTTATTTTTCACCGTATATGTTCATTTTAATATTCAGGTATCTGTTTATTTGTTTTTGTTCATTTGTCCACCGTATTTGTTTATTTGTTCACTGTATTTGTTTATTTGTTCATTTGTTCACTGTATTTGTTCATCATGTTTGTTACTGTATTTGTTTTCATCTTCGATATTCGTATTTCCATTTCTAAAATGATGTTCTTGTTTAAATTTTGGTATTTCTATTTTTAAAATAATTTTTTTGTTTAAATTTTGTTTTAGATTTTAATTTAATTAATATTTTTTCTTTTAGGTTTGTTAATAAAATTCTCTTAGAAAAATATTTGAATTAAAAAATACAGGTAATATTCTCAAAATATTTAGATGATTCATTAGAAAAAATATAGGTATTATTCTCGTATAAAAAATGATAAATAATATATTCATTTAAAAAATCATGGAAGAGTAAGTTCCTACCTAAAAAATTAGCTGAGATTTTCCTATTTATACATTGGAAATTTTTCAAAACTGAAAGTTGTTTGACCATTTTTTAAAATGACTTATTTTAAATGACTATATCTATGAGGCTTAGGTTTTTTTTCCTCAACCGGGAATCTTGCCCGACCCCGAGCAAGGGCCTAATTCACGTACGTAAAGGGAAGGGTGGGGTAGGTCTTTCACTCTTTTTTTTTTACGTCAATAGATGAGTGAAGCGAAGGGACGAGACACCGATAGGCACGAGAGGAGTTCCTTCCAGGAGAGCATGTAATTGAAGAAAAGAAAAACCACACCAAGCTATGGGTGCAATCATTACATATGACTTGGCTATCGGCCTGGCCTTTTTTATTTTTCGCAAAGCTTGGCTAAAAGCCTGATTTTCCTAAATATTGGCTAGCTCAGATAAACATTCCAGCTATTCAAAGAAGGCGGTCCATGTAATAAAAAAGTATCACATAATTGGGCTTAAACAAAAACTAAAGGCTCAACCCAACTTCTTTAATGTAATAACCCGCTGGATGCTTGAGTCCAATATTTTAAATATCGATGTCTTCGGAAACGTCGAGGTCTCAATTTATAGAAATATCGATGGAAATATCGATAAATTGTCAATGTCGATGGATATTTCTGTAAAAGTTAGAAAATTTTAAAAAATCGTAAAAAAATATTTAAATTAACAAATAAACATTTTTCTATTTCTAAATTAGTTAAAAATAATTTATTTTAATATTATGTATATATTAGTGACATTTTGTTGATATTTTTCATATTTTGTAGATTTTCTTGTACTATGATGGAAATGTCGATTTACTCCTCATATCGATGTCGAACCTATGAAAACATGGATATGTCGATGGAAATATCGACAGATATTTAAAATCATACTTGAGTCACAAAACAACATTTCCAATAAAAACCAAATTAACTACCCACTGCTACATTAACTTCTAAAACCTATCAAACACTAACATGATAATTAAACATAAATTTGCACTAAATTTTAATATAATTTTCAACCAAAGAGAGCTTTGGCATTTTGCATGAGAGGAGTGAGGGAGATTAAGAAATGAGCAGAGAATCTGGCATGTAAGAGAGGAGAAAAGAGAGGAAATAATAGAAATGGATGGGCATCGTGCATGTAAGATAGAGAAAATAAGAGAGGAAGGAATGTGAATGATCATTAGGGTCATGCATGTAAGAGAGAGAAACTATGTGGGTCAAGATTTGGTTTTGCATGTCAAAGAGATAAAAAAATATAAAAGAAAGGAGAGAACCGAAGATTGGGAGGAAGCTCCTCTTGAATTCTTACAGTAGCACATAGACAAGTGGACCACGAACGAATTATACAATATTAAAAAAAAAACACTGGTGTATATACTGCTAACCAGATAGGAATTCCAGATTCCATATATTAGTTGGAGGAAACAAACTTGACACCTGCAGATTTAGAGCATTGTTCTCATCGAGGCCTACATGGTCAAATAAATCTCAAAATCTCATCTTTTCTATTTTTTTCAACTTCCATTTTCTCTCCCCTCATTAACTTCTTAACTTCCTCATTTTTCTTTTGTAATGCCTCACCATTTTTTATCTTTTTTTTTTGAAGTTTTTTATTTTCATTTCACAAACTCTTATTCATTTGTCCTTCTTTATTTTTTCTTTTTAATTTAATGTATCTTTTTTTGTATTTGAAAAATATGGAACAAGATAAACAAAAAGACAAATTTTTTTTTTTAAATTCAACTTTCCACCATATGTACATTTTGAATTGTGAAAAAAATACAAAGGTCGTTTTTTACAAGGAAAAAATATAATTTTTTTTTACCAATGGAAAAAAATATTTTGAAAAATAAATATGTGGTATTGAAAAGTACAGTAAAAAATATACAATAAATTTGAATTAAAAATATAATAAGAGATAAAAAAAACAATAAAAATAAAAGGTGAAGCATTACAGTGGAGAGAAAAAATTGGAAGGATGAGAGGTAATAAGGAGAGAGAGAAAAAGAGGAAAGAATGAATGGGAGATATTG